TTACCAAAGCGTGGTATAGAAAAGTCAATGAGGGGAATTGATCAAAACTGGAGCAGACAAAATCTGGGGCGGTTGCACATGGCAACCAATCAGCTCCTCTCTTCAATTTGTTCACTTAAGGTTTGAAAATGAAAGAAAGAGGCTGATTGGCTGCCATGCACAGCTGCTCCAGATGTTGTCTGCTCCAGGTTTGATGAATTCCCCTCATTGTCTTTTTACACATCCTATGTACTGCTTTTATATGACGTAAAACTATGTTGGATTCAGATTCTGTGTCTTATTGAAGAGTTAAGCTTTCTGTGGAATGTGCCAAATCAGCAAGTGGCCATACCTTCTGCACAGACTGGATCTAAGAAAGCATGTCATTGCATATACAGTACATATACTGGCATTTGAAACAGTACAGTAAGAAGACAGATTTCTAAAACCTTTTACACATTCTGCTTTATCTGCTGTGCCTCAGTAAGCACATGGTCTCTGTCTGCCCCCTAGTGAGCACACTGCTGCACTATAGACTCTTATATCTGCTTAGAAATCAAACTATTTCTGAAGCTAACCAAAGAAAGATTACAATCTGCTGTATTACTTTAACTGAATTTCTGTGCTGTAGAATCTTTTGAAATACTGTTTGGCACAGGCACCTGTTTCTTTGCATATCCTATGGCTGTGCATGCACTAGAGACCACCATCAGATGAAGTTAATGAAGCTGATTTGCAACAGGTAGGGATACCTGTTAGACCAAAGTACATACTTAAGCCTTCCTTGAAGTACAAAGATCCTCAATGAGTAGTCAACACATATCATCCTGCTCTGAAGCACGAGTAGCAAAAGCACAAGCAGGAAGTGGCTCTTAAGGACAAAGCTGCAAGAAAGAGGCATGTACGCAGGCACAGGCCCAAGCACAAGCTGTTCAAGCCAGGCCCCAGCTCAAGCTGCAGCAGCACAGGCTCAAGCATAAGCATACGCCGTTCAAGCACAGGCTCAGACCCAAGCACAAGCTCACAAAAACTCAGATGTACTTCAACCAAAAAGAAAGAAAGCGGCATCCCATCTAAGCTCAAAGTCTTTGAACAAACTGAGAGGATGAAGTCCACCATCCAATCTTGACAGTTTCTGCTGACCCTGCAAGAAGTACACTGCAATTTGTCCTAAGCCATGGCAGTCACAACAACAATAAAACATCTCAAATTTTATACACAAAACCACAACGAACCCTCCAACATAAAACTCTGCAGCCATTAGCCACACATATCAGTCAGGCATATGGGATGCTTCTCTGCCTCCTAAGTTCCTGACACCCCATCCAGTGACCTACATGCCATTGAAGACCTTCCTGAGCCCAGCTCACCAAATTAGCTCAAAACATGCTGTGAGCACTCACATGGTTCTCAAGACACACATTGCAAGAACTCAAAATGTCAAGCTTTCACCTGAATTAAGCCCATCTGCTACTTCATTATCTCCTCCAATACCTAAATATAAGAGACCTTGCAAGCTTTGACATCCTTGGATATCTTTGCAGAAGTGGCTTAATGCCATCAGAAACTGTTCTGGACACTGTGACCCATCAGAGACTTCATCTTCTCCATATGGACCCATGTATACTGTATATGTTTGCATTCCTTTCTCTCTTTTGTATTTTTACAGGTCCAAAGGGCAGCTTTATCTACATCTATAGACTTTAATCATTGTTGCACTATATTACATGATATTATAGATAAGTGGTATCTTCTGATAGACACCACAAAAGCTGGTACAAACCAAAACATGAAACAGCTAAAAGGAGCAGTAAATGATTCCAAAATGTGGACATCGCTCATAGAATCGCTGAGAGTCTCAACATATAACACACACACTGTTACCAGATGCCGCCACAGCAGACTGTCTTTTGTCTTATTTATTGTATTTTGTATGTTCCCCTGTTCCCCCCTCCTGTACAGTCTCTAGCTAGACACTCCCTGACTTTCACTCTGCTACTTAGTTTAAGTTTCCAAGCAGAGACAGAACTTAGAAAATACATTTTTATTAAACTTTAAAAGGCTGGAGAAACATAATGTGCACTGCACTTTTCAGAAATAAAACTATTTCGGATTTGAACTTCTTATTGAAGAGTTAAGCTGCCTGTAGGTTGTGCTAAATCAGCAAGTGGCCATACCGTCTGCACAGACCAGGTCTAAGGAAGCATGGCATTGCATATACTGACATTTGAACACATACAATTCAGAATTCCAAGCGAGGCTCAGGTTTATTTAGTATGACAGACAACTAGCATTTTCAGAAGGAGAAGTCAGTAAATCCTCTTGTAAGAAATCTGTATATTTATATGCTGTATAGTTTAAATGATTTATGAACCTTTAATTATTCTTTAAAAATGACTATCATCTCAGTTCCTTTTTCACAAACACTGTAGAATGTAAGGATACTTCAAACCACAATGACTTTTTTTCTGTTCTATGACTCATCTAATTCAAGTGAAATCAGCTGAGAACAAAGGTGTCTCTAGAGTAGCTATGCATAATTTAAGTCAAATAAGTATTTGTATAAATACACTTTGATACTACTGTAGGTCTTTTGATGTCTGGGTCTATTGTAAAAGGTAACACTATACAAAAGAATACTTTACTAGAAACATTACCTAACTTGTTAATAAATATACATGTTACAACAAAGACTGTGTGCGTCTGTCTTTCTAGCCATAGATACCCAACTGTGAATAAAAATTACATGTTTTCCTAGTTTAATCTATTATAAGTGTACTCAGTGTGGCAGATTCATTGCCAAATCAGTGGTAGATGGTAGATGATCAGTGGTAGTGGTATTGGTAGTGGTAGATGACAAATGACAGATGACAAGACAGTTTACTAAAGTTTGAAGCCTTGCTCTGTTACCTGCCTCATCTGTGGACAAAATTACAAATTTACTGATGGACTGATAATATGGAATTAATATTAACAAACTATAATACTTTTCTAGTAAAACACAACAATGAGAGGAATAGCAGCACTGAATTCTATCCAACAAAGTACAAGTTTATTCGGTAAAGGTTTACAAGACTGGCCCTACCACGACACCACCGTCACTGATGCCTTTTACCCGAAACATACAATTAGGTCAAGTCCAGGCAAAAGGCATCAGAGAAGGTAGAGTTGTAGTGGGTTGCATCTTGTATACCTTTGTTGAATAAAATGTACTTATATTGGAGTGCGGCTGCCTTTTCCACTGTTGTGTTGACTGTAAGAGATGGGACAGCCTCTCATGCAGCAGCTGGAGGAAAATTCTGTGTAGCTTTCTGAGCTGCATCATTTTCACTTTTCTCAAGGTCAATTAAATTTATTGATGGAACAGTTTAACCACTAAAATTATTATTATTCAGGATTTATATAGCGCCAAAAGTTTGCGCAGGGCTTTACAAAATGGGGGAGACACTACAGTTACAATACAATTGCATTACAATAGGGTTAGGAGGGCCCTGCTTGTGACATTTATGTTATAAAATATAGTACACTGGTACAAACATACTCAGGCTTATTCTAGTGTTTTGCCATCAGTGAATCATTATGGGGAATTTTCTGGCCAAATAAATTGAATTTAAAACCTATCTGTCCAATTTAGATACATTTAGGTTTAGTGCACTTGGGTGCACTTGAGCATTTCCTTTGGCTTTCTTATGAAGCAAATATGAGAGATTGTTCACACCAGCACCTTGGGGTTACATGGGTCAACACATGCACATTAAACGCACCTGAACGGATTGCAATGGTGTGAATGAAACCTTAAGGTCCTGGAATTCTGTCTGAATTTTGGACTGAATCTTGTGAAGCAGCGAACACTCATAGTTTTGTTTCTTGATAGCATGTTGCTTTATGTCTCTATATAAGTGAATGTGAATGCATGCTAAATGCATCTCAAATGCATTTTAAATGCAGACAAAATTATTTCAGATGTAAACCATTTTTCCATGAATGCATGCTGAATCTGACTTGCTTCTGAGTTTGACGTTAATGCATACAAACCCTTTGATTTGTTTTTATATTTAACAGATTTTTCCAACTCATTTTTGTACTACAACTGATTTTCAGGTAATGAATCATGTTTAAAAGGTTTAGGACAAGACTCATTAAATATGCTATTTGGTAACATTTAGGGTGTCTGTACATGGCCTAAAAGTTGGAGGAAATAATGAGACTGATTCAAACATTACCTTAGGTAATAGGGCTATTACTGGACCATGTAGGGGTTAATAATGGTGTCATGATGGACAAGGGAGTGTGGACAGATATGTCACTACCAGTTGCTGATGTTGACATATCTGCTATTTAATGTATGGCCAGTCTTGTGCTATCACCTCTATCATCTGTAAGCAATAAGAGAAATTTGGTGGATTGATAATATGCAATTTACTGTCCACAGAGTATTTCCAGTAATTCAAAACATATTACAACCACTGCTCAATCACACATTGATTAATGTCCTACCCTAATTGAACATGTCTTTATATTGATTTGAACCCAACCATTCTACATTGCCAGCTGCGTTCTGATTTCACTCTATGTTGTAGCCATTTGTGGTGGTGCTTGTTGTTTCACTTAAAGAAGGTTTTTAAATTTCAATCTAGACTGCCCAAGACAGACTGGCCTCCAGACATAAGGGCTTTCATGATGATGGATGGGTTAAAGGGGGGGAGCGCCAAATACGA